AAGGATTTCCAAACAATCAGGCTGATCTGCCAAATCTAGTTCCCTGTATAAATAGATTTCTTTGTCCCCAGAATAACTTTTTCTGGTATTTTATATTTTGCATTCAAACCTCTAATATTTTTTTTCTCTCCAGTTCCCCCCAGTGTTGAGAGATTCGAGATAGCAGTTTAACACTGGAAGTTTTTGAATGATTATTTAATTAGAACTAAGTCTAACAATCAAGACAATCGAAATACAGGAATAAAGGGAAGAAGAGCCAACAACTTAGTGAATGTACTTAATTAGTATTTTGCTTTAAAGACTGATATCAACACAAGTATTTTCCCTAATGAGAATGATGGAGCTGTGCATATAATCCACCTTGAAGAAAAAGTAGCGAACTACTAAAAAAGCTTATATATTTCATTGTAAAGGTGAATGCTGCCAAGAACATACCACCAGTGTTGTAAGGCATGTATGCATCCCTGGACTGTGGCCTCACAGATACTCAGCCAGATGGACTGTCTGGAACAATGGCGGAAACAATAACTCCATTTGCGTTAAACTAGTAGCATACCGTTCTCCATATAGTAGCAATTCCCATAAACTTCTATTTACAATTAAAAAAAAAAAGCAGCCATAAAACAGCTCAGAAAAGCGTGGAAACTAAAGAGACAAATCTCAAGAAATATAACTGAAGCAAAGGACTTTTATCTACTTTTAGCCTTTATCTGGGGCTAACCTATAACAGCTCTGTCACCTGACAACCCCTCACCAGCCAGGAAAGGGAATCAGGAAAAGGAGAGCACACCCATGGGTCAAAGTGAAAACAGATTTAATGAAACAGCACTAATACCACCAAAGGTATACAAAGTCATACTCAGCAAAATGCATATGCAGCAGCCATAAAGAACAGAACAGTCCTCAGAGGCAAGAGGAACTCAGCAGCAGCTCCCCTTCCTCAGCAGACCTCCCCCCTTTATAACGCCCATGACATTATGGTGTGGGCCACACCTGTAGCTCACTCAGGTCAGCTGCTCTGGCTGACTCGAAACTGCCAACAGCCTGCCCGGCGTGGCTGGGCTGTGATGCTGTTGCAGCCAAACCAGGACAATTTTGCATGTACCATGAAGTGCACCATATGTCTTTCAGGAACAGGGATAATGAGTCAATAGCTTTTTAATGCATCTTAATGTGTCAAATTTGAGGCACATACAGTACACTCCTAACTCAGTTTCCATTCTCTCATGGTTTTCTGCTGCAAATAAAGTCTTGAAAATGGAGTCTTCCATGGAATGGGAAAATGGAAGAAGTCTCCTAGAAAACTGCCTTCAAAATCAGAAATAAATTTTGAATTAGTCTGGTTCATAAGTCAAGGGAAGCGCTAGCAACTTTTCAACCCCTGCATTCTGGATTAATGGTTTTGAATAATATGACTGAAAGGAGGTAATAAAAGATGAACGATATTCTGATGATCTTACAGAGTGTATTTTGCAGATTTTTATTTTTTCATTATTAGACTGATTCAGTTATAGTAGCAATACATAGGGTTGTGTAATCTTGGGTAAACATGAGATTTTGGTGGGGGAAGAGTATAAATATTCTTAGTTTCTCTCTTCTGCATCTGCTTTCTTTCATTGAGTATGCACACTAATGTGATGGAGGATTTAATGTTGTTTATGAACAGTGCAAAGTAGCTGAGGTTAGTTTGAAGGCATCTTTTTTCGAGTATTTTTTTTTCTATTTGCTTTCCAGTGAAGCTGTTAGAGGAATTAATCAATTGTAATTGCAGGCTGTTAAAACAAGGAAAGGCTTAATATCCTTATACCTGTTTCTCTTGATAAGTTTTATTGCTGAGTGGAATTTCTGATTATTACTTGTTTTGAAACAAGATTCAATATTTGTGTCGCATTTTGAGGAAATCAATAGCAGCATTAATTGACGGTAACCATGTCAGGTCCCGTTACGGATAAGAATTTAACCCTAGATACTTATGTTTCCAGAAAAGGAAATCCATCATGGTACAGTTAGAGCATAAAATGTTCTTAGCACATATTGGTGATGGTTTTTTTGAGTAATCTGTTTGGGCAGGTACTTTTAGGTTTAATCTGCAGCCTTCTGTACAATATCTGTTAGGATATCTGTTGAAAGACATATTTTGTAAGTAACTTCATTTTAAAATATGCTACAGGGAAACACTGTCATCAACAATCACCGGAACTTTAAGAATATGTTTTTCTTGTGCTATTTATACCTGTGTATGCCTTTCTGCTCAGATTTTTAGATTCTCTCCTACTCCTCTGTTATGTATTTTCCAAATGAAGCACAGTAATATTTTAGGGTGGTTGTTAGCTGCACTGTCTTCCAACGTGTGATAGCATATGGAGTCATAGCTCTACTGTGCTATCATCTCCATTCATTGCATTTTCATAGCTCTTGTAGACTAAAACATCTATCCGAAAATGCATAGTTAGCTCATCTTCCACTTCATAGCATCTAATTGAAGAGAGCAGTCAGAAAGGTGATGGATAGGAATTCTGTTTAGACTCCATGGTATCACATCTATTCTTTGCATTTCGGCTGTGCTTGGGGTGTTGATGTGGCACCCAAGCAGTCAGTCCCGCAGCAGCCAAGCCTTGCAGGGTGGAGGGCCTCAACCCATCTCCCTCTGCTGCAGGAAGCCAGGTGATTCTCCCCAAGTTATCTATTCAACGGCATGATGCAGTTTATCCCTTGTCCAAGGCACCCATCAGTTGTTTACACAGCTGATCTTGCTGCATTGGTCATGTTTTTATTCATTGCATTTCGTAGAGAAACAGTTTCGTGAGACTTTCTGCTAGAAATGAGCTGCCCACACACAGTGGCCAGAAGGGTGAACCTTGCCAAAGCCCATGTTAGAAGAAGAGACGAATACAACCATCCTTGAACAATGAAAAGTTCTTGCAGAATGCTGATGCTGATTTAATTGTTTTGTTGTTGTAATTTGCCTTGTCATATCTTACAGTATGTGTACTTGGGAGGGTTTTTTTGTATTGTTTTTTGTTTGGGTTTTTAACACAGAAAATCCCATATTGAGTCTCCAGAATTGTATCTACAGTAGTAGAAACAGTTCTGTATCTTTGAGTCTTTTCTTCTCTCTGTTGTTAATATCGATTGTAGTATTTCTCTAGTATTTTTTTTTCCTGGATTTCTGTCTCATCTTCCATGAGATTCTTGGCTGGCTTAAAGATCATATTTTAACTCATGCTTCCATGTTTTGAGATGGTGTAGTTTATCCAAGAGTTAATTGCAAGTAACTATAGACTTCTGTGGTTTTCATGGAGAAAAGATTACTTAAATCTTGTAGGTAAGTTTTAAATTGGCTGCTGTTAATTCAGACTTCATTCTAGCTTAGCTATTGTAAATTTATGCATAAATACTTTAAAAGCTGCTTAGTTTAAGTACTTATTCGATTGAGAAACTTATATTTTCAACATGGTCACTTGTTTCTTTATGAAAAATACAGCAAACTTGGCCTGTATGACCCTTCCTTATAAAGCCATCTTACATAGAAGCAAAATGTTAGCTTGTAATCCTTTTATAAGAGATTGTTTTGTGTTTATGTCCATGCCTAACTTTTTCTGTTTCTTTTTTTCTCTCTCTTCTTTTATTTTAAAAGGTATTTCTCAAGAGTGATCGGGTTGCAAGAATGGTCCACAGTGGAGGATGTTCTGCAAATGACTTCAGAGATGTTTTTAAGAAAAACATAGAAAAGAGAGTCCGAAGTTTGCCAGAAATTGATGGGTTAAGCAAAGAGACAGTGTTAAGTTCTTGGCTAGCGAAATATGATGCCATATACAGGGGAGAAGAGGACCTTTGCAAACAGCCGAATAGAATGGCCTTAAGTGCTGTATCGGAGCTGATTCTGAGCAAGGAACAGCTTTATGAAATGTTTCAGCAGATTCTAGGGATCAAAAAATTGGAGCACCAGTTGATTTATAATGCCTGTCAGGTAAGTATTGGTGTCACTTGGTTCTGTTGTGTCCGAAATATCTCCCCCCTGCCAACAAGTCAAGTGCTTCCTCCCTGTGTGTAGAAGCCTTGAGTTTTAAGTACACCTCCAGAGTCTGAGGAGATGAAGACCCCTCAGAAAGAAATATTTGCATCATTTGGTCTCTGGAGAGCACCTGGAAAAAAGGTATGCCAGAGTATATGGTACTTATGCTACAGGGATCTCCCGAGACCTTCTACGGTGTCACAGCTCCAGTGATCTGGGTGATTCTGCAGAATGTTCTGTGGTCTATATACCTTCACACCCTCATATGAATTACATATGTATGTCCATACATTTCTGTGTATGTGTGTACATCTTTAAAAGCAAGTTGCTGCCATAAATAGCTAGGTGACAGGTGACTGAACACAGGATGCTGCTCTTGGCCATCCAGTGTCTAGAAGGTCAGTATGTTAGAACTCAATGTGCTTCATTTCAAACACCGTCCACAAAGCTAATTTGCATGTTTTTACTTTGTTTTATTGGCTAAAAGTGGTGAGTGTTCCCCATAAATTACTGAGACCAAGACAAACAGTCTATTCAGCAATCATATTTGGTTTTATATGTATAACATATCACTAATCAGTAGTGTTAATGGTATGTAAAAATATTTTATCTGGCCAGTCTTAGTAGGAATGCAATTATAAATTAGCAATTACTTAGGGAGAAAAAAAATGAAAAAAGTGAGGTATTTTTGAAAGTCTCATAACCAGCCAGCACAGATGTAGCATTTAAACAGCTTACACAACTTTCTGCACTGTCTATAAAATAGTACACCAGACTACAGCTACGTTGTTTTTCATATGTTATGCTGAAGGTTGGCTTGTATTTATGGGCCATCTTAATACAGGAACAAATGAAGCGTCTTGGACATTGTTGCCTACTTCATTTATAGATTAGTGTGGCATGAAGTCATGTAACTGTTCTATGATTGAAACATCTCTGGTGATTTATGCTTCTCAGGGTCATAGATCCAACTTTCACAACAAGGAACTGTACTATTCATATTCTGCATCAAATATGAGGGTTTCCTGTTTTCACTGTGAACTGTTTACTGACAGGGTGGAAAGAGACTTCTGAATGAGCAGTGTTTCGAATGGAAAGAGATAGAAAGTATTCCTTCTTTTTTTTCTTGTTTGCCCCATTTTCTTCCTTTTGCCTCTTAATTCACATACACATAAATCATGAAGCTAACCTCTAGTCCACTAGGTTTTTGTATCTGTATACTTGAAGGCTTCTTTATTTTGATTGTCAATTGTAGGAATGTTGATGGAACAAAACCAGTTGGCAGTTATCAACAATTTTCTGTCTATTCTTGGTCCACAACCTACAGAGAGACTGAAACTTTGCAGTGACTCATTTTTGTTTTCCACCATGGTAGAATTTTGAGCATGGAATGATTTTCTTTTCTATTTTGAATTTTTTGAATTGCGAATTAAAGAGATGTGGTAGGTAGGAAGGGAGAAAGACTGACTGATCATCCTGATGTGTGCAAAGAGGACTCGATGGGATTAAGAGACGATTCTGCTCTTGCTCTTCCTGGTTTTGCGCACTGAAGGTTGTAAAATCTCCTGTGCAGGTCTCCAAAGTACACATTGTTTATCCTGGATTCATATAAGTTTTGGAGGACAGGAAGAAAGAGCATCTTCTCTGGGATTAGATACAGGAGCACGTACACATATTTCAAGCTGGGAAGAATGGAAAGGGAAAGGCTTCAAGTCTGTACCTTTCTTGTTTGGGCTTGTAGTTTTCTGAAGATTTTAGTTTTCCAAGGCAAGGATGAGATTACTTTGCTAAAACAAAAACTTTCATTAGGTACACCAACAGAGTTGCTACCAACCATACATTTCATATCCTGTTCCTGTGGTCCAGCACGTAATACACCAAAGGTATGAGGAGAAGTCTGTTGCAAAGAAAAAGACAACAATCAGCCTTCCCAGGAAGTGTATTGCAGACAGCTACCAGTCTCTGTAATGCTTTTTCTCCTTTGGCAAAATCCCTTATTTCTCATTATAGTTTTAATAAATATTTCAGTTTAGGCTGTATCTTACTCCTTTCTATTGACAGTGTATTTATGGAAGATGAGATTAAGTTAGACTCAGATTTCAGTCAGCACCAGCAGTTTTCATTCTGCCCTAGAAGCCTCTATCTGTCTTTGTAGGAAAATGCTCACTTTCATTTCCTTTTGCCTCTGCTGTTTAGAATACTAGAGACTTGCAGATAATGATAATCAATAGTGTCTGGCAGCAGTGAGATAAGTGAAAGTCCAAACAGATGTTAAAATTGTATTTTTGATAGAGGTTTTGATGACTTGGCTTCTAGCCTGTGCTTCTAGCAGAGAATCAGATATATGAAATTCTGTATATTTTGGAGCTCTGAGAAACAGCTGCCCTTAACAGCAAATCTGTACAGTTATAATTTGTGCAGAAAACTCTCTTTTTCTTTCCTCCTCTTTTTTTGTGTTACTTCCAGCCCTTTTGGAAATAGGAAACAGAAAAATGTCTTACAATGTCGATGATAAGAGTAAATTATCCTGCACCTACAGGGCTGCTAAGCAGAAAAGGATGCTATTTGTAACAGTAGGAGGTATTGTCTGCCAGCCTCCGCCTTGTGACTTTCTCTGCGTTTAGAAACTTTTTATTGGTTTTCAGCAGCTTTTGCTCCCCAGCCTTTTCTAAATGGAGTGTTCCCTTCAACTCCTGAAGCCTTGGTGTCTTGCAGCAGCTCATGAGACAGTTCTGCTAGAGTGTGGTTATTGAGGGTCCACGTAGGTTTGCCAGTCTCCATCCTTCAGTGAGAAACTGTTCATTCGATCAGCACAAGAACTTAATCAAAAATAAAGTGAATAGTAATAGACCAACTCTCTGACATTGTCAAATACAGTCCACACAGCTATGAGAATTATATGCATTTTTCTTTGAAGAATAAAATTTTGTTGCTATCTTTTATCATTTACTAAACGTCCTTAGGTAGTGAACATTAACAGGACATTCACATTATGATGTTGAAGACTTCTTCTATGATCTAATTTTACAACTTTACAATTTAGAGCAAGGCCAGCAACTACTGCCAACCACGTATATCTCTTTGTGATTAAAAGATTCAATTTTGTAAGTGCTAACACTTTCACCTGATTTTTATTTACATTGTGTTGCCTTGAGCAGTGTTTTATGATAAAGAAATGATTGCCAGTTAGCTGGCACTTAATGAGCTCCTTGACCTGCTTTTGAAATGCCTGGCTACAGTGTGTTGTTATAGTTTCTTTGATTTATAGAGATCAAACATTATATAGTCTTTTTTTCTTTCTTTCTTTTTTTTTTTTTTTTTTAAATTATGCACTGATGTAGAGGATAACTTTGATGCAGAAAGTCAGACTGAAAGTCAAACTCAGACTGGTGTGTGTCATGCACTGTTATTACACCACTTCACCAGTACCTGAATTTCTGTACTAGGTAAATCATAACTCCACACAGAGTTTATTTTATTTTGAAAGTACCTTTATAAAGTTGTCTTTTTTGACTGATCTAAACCCCTTGTCTTGAGTGCAGGGAGGAGGGAACAACACTGATTTTCGTAATGAAAGAATTCTTGCAAGTCACATTCTCTTTTCTGGCAGGTAGTAAGTAATTTTGAGAATGATGTAACAGTTTTTAAGCAGAATTATTTGCTAAGTCTTCTACTTGTCTACTTTTTGGAGATCAACCACAAACTAATATTCTTCTGGAAATAGCTTTAGATGATACTTTGCTGCAAGATACAATTTTCTGTTTAAAAGCCTTGTATTACATCTGGTTTACATCCTTTATTATCTTTGGCTTTTACAAGACATAACTCTTTGTATAAGTGTCTAATATTGAGAATGATGGATTATATTGTATCTTCCATAATAAATTTTTGTATTTTTAATTATGGGAATATTTCCTGACAAGAATTTCTACTGAACTGAAGCCTGCTTATGGTGTTCAGTACAATTGGACTCTTCCACCCAGTGCTTCACTGAAGTCCAGTTAATTATGCCGTTTGGGAAATAAGTCAAATTAGGGGCAATTTAATTTGCAACAAGGCCTTCTTGACTTTTGAATGTTTGTAGTTCTGATCCTTTCCTCAGTGAAATCATAAAAAGTACTGCAGTTATGTCACAGATCACAGAATTTCCCATGCTTCTGGATATTTTTCTTAGAAACTTTTATACCCTATATAAGTTAAAGGGACAAATGCAGCTTTATCAAGCACAAAGAATAGTGATATCTTTGAACAGAATGTTTTGCTGTACAGTTGATAATCTTCTTCTTGAAGTAATTAAACAAATGTTATTTTTCCCTTTAGTATATAGGCCGAAACTTAAACAGATTCATTAAGTCTTTAAGTTGAGGCAAGGCAAAGGAAAAAAAAAATCAGTTTGGGCTGTGTATTATAGAACACATACAGTTGTGCAGTGTGTATATCTGAAACTTTTCAGTCAAAAGAAAAGATACTGGCTCCATGAGATGTTATAATGCAAACAGGGCTTCAGCTAAACCAGTGTCTTTCCAATGGCCACCAATGACTGTCATTACTTATTTCATGATAAATTATACCCAATACAGCAGTAACCTCTGAAAAATGTTGGCAAGGGCCATTGCTGTATTTTTGAGGTAGCATGAGGTGTTATGTAAGACATCCACCAATGTCTTCATCATCCCTCTGGGCTGAAAATGTGCTTTTACCTGGCCTGAGATATTCCTGCTTCCCTGTTTAAAAAACAAACAAACAAACAACAGACAAAATAAACCCCCAAAACGTTGTGCAGATCACCTGCTTTATGTGGGAGATCTGCTACCTTCAGGCCTTACCTGGTAAGAGGTTACTGCTGGGTAGCCAGTGCACACTCCCAGCACAGGGAACTGGTTATTTGCTCTCTAGATAAAATGCAGTTTTGCAGACATCTCAGAGTAGACAGCAGTCAGGGCAGGAGGAAGGGG